GTCTCATTAAAAGGAATGCTTTAGTGTTTTATAATATATAAATTTAAAAATAATAATATTTTTATTAATTAATAGAAATATATAAGATGATTTTAATCTTTTGCCATTTTGTATTTTATGTATTAATTAATTGAATGTATAATAATATATTTATAATTTATGTAAGATTTAAAGGGTATTTGAGTTTTAATGTGTAATTATTTTTACCATAATAATAAAAAGAAAATATTTTTGAGTGAAAAGAACAAAAATAAATAGTAAAAAAATATTTTCAATTACGACATGAAAAATATTTCAAAATTTAATTAATAAAATATATTCAAAATATTGATATCATTTTGTAAAATACTACATAATTTACGAATTATGAAAATATTATAAAATTAAAAATATATTTAATGCATATTACAAAAAAAGGTTATATATAAAATAAGATAGAATTTGCGTTTTACTCCTTCCGTCCGTCTTTCAGGTCATATTTACTTTTTGCGTCATTGTCATTGTACTTAACATTAAAAATATTTTTTTATATTTGTATAATCTTTTGTACAAATTTTCTTCTATTAATATTATAAGACACTAATAGAAGTATTTTTATAAATTTTTTTTCATTAATATTACATTTTAACTTAATAATTAATATTCAAATATCCATACACAAATAGTAAACGGGCCCTTAGAGTCGGACGAAAATAATACAAAATATTATATCAAAATATTATTTAATTAAAAACTCAAATAAAAGCTCTTTTTCAAACTAATTTATCTCATATATTCCAATTAAAACAAGACAGATAACAAAATAAAAAATCTCTCAAACTTTATATATTTTTATTTTTAAAAATGCCAACGTCGCAGCAGCTCCTCTTCCGTTGCGGCGACTTAAAACAATTTTATTGTATTTTATTTTTTTTTCTTTTTTCTTTTACTGCGGATGTATCTGCCGTCGATTTTGAACACGTGCAAAATATGTGTTTATCTATCTTAAAGGCCGAATAAAAGCAAACTTAGGTAAGTTTATAGTTTAATTATTTATTATTGTTGTTGTAGATAAACTCTATATAATAATGACGTGGACACAACGATATTTTTTGTACGAAATTTTAGAAATATTAGTATTATATTGGGATAAAATAAAAATAAAAGTAAAAAGACTAAATTAACCCTATTAGTATTGTATGATACAAAGGTAATGACATTTGTGTAATATATTATAAATTGAAAAGGTATTTGTAATGTTAGGTAGATAGTAGTACAATTACTAAAAAAATGAAATTAATATTTTGTTATGTGACAGACCAAAATAAAAAAATGAATAGATTGTTAAGGGATAAAGATAGTATTTATTTTTAATTATTCAATGTATATAAAAATTATACTCAATCTGGACACATAATTTGGCAATTTTATTTATTTATGTTTTTGGGTTTCAATTTATTATATTTATATTTAATTATACATTGTAGTCATATTTAAATTTCATAATTTATAAATTTTAAATTTTAATTAAATTAACTAATTATTTTAATTTTAATTTATAGTAACTATTTATATTATACTAAAATTATTTTTACTAATATATTTATGTCCCAGACAAAATAAATAGAATGGAAAGAGTACTTTAAATAGGTCATTTGCGATTTTATACTACTCCCTCCGTCCATTTACAAGGTTTACATTTACTTTTGTGTAATTATACATTTTAATTATAGTGAGTAGTTAAGAGTAGTGTAATGACATTTTTACCCTTACTTTTTTGTGTAAAAGTAATAATGTGATATACAGTAAGGGTATTTAGGGAAAAAAGTAGGATATTTAATGAAATGTTAACTTTGTAATTTGACGTCCCAAAATAAAAATATGTAAACATTGTAAGTGGACGGAGAGAGTATTATTTTAAAAAAATAATATATTTTATTGGTTAGTTGTGTATTTTGTAAGATTTTGTTATGTATAATTTATGTATAAATTAAATATATGTTTTATATTATGTTCGTAATTAACCTAAAAGTTAAATAATATTTTGATATTAGTATATAATTATTTTCAAAATAATAGAAAATATATAGTATTTTATCAGTGAGACAAAAAAATAATAAAAAAAAAAAATACTTCTATTTGATATAGAAAGAGTATACTCCTTCGGTCCCGCTGCAAGGTTGTCATTGGCTTTTTGCATATTGATATTTGAATATTAATTATTACATCAAGACTTAGTACAAATAAAAAAAAAAAGAATATATTTATTAGTCTCTTATAATACCAATACAATGATATTTAGAGTAGATTATTCAAATATAAGGATATTTTTAATGTGAAGTATAATGACTCAAAAATCAAATGACAATCTTGCAGCGGGACGGATGGAATAATATTTTTACAAAGATAATAAGCATATATATATATATATATATAACAAATGGACATTAATTTATGTAAAGAATTTATTAAATAATATAAGAAATCTAATAGAATATAAATTTTTTAATTTAAGGGATTTCAAATAATATATTTATGATATTTCTTTTGTTGGATAATATGAAAATTCAGTTTACTTATTTAAGAATGGATTTTATCTTATTTATTTATTTATTTTTAACCGTAATAAAGATCTATTGATATGCATAAACCTTAAAATATATTACTCTCTCCGTCCCATGTAATGTGAGTCTATTTATATATTTCTATTTTGGGACGTCCAATTACAAAGTTAATATTTCATTAAATACTTTACTTTTTTCTACAAATACCCTTACTTTACATAATATCATTACTTTTACACAAAAAAGTAAGAGCAAAAATGTCATTACACTATTTTTAACTACTCACTATAATTAAAATATTATTATTCCTTAAACACCGCGCCAAAAGTAAATGTAACAATTATAAGTGGACGGAGGGAATATTATTTAGTAAAAATAATTATAGATTAAGATAACTAAATAGTTTAATTAAGATTAAAAAAGTTAAATTTTAAATTTTAAAATATGATTAAAGTGTATATTATTTTTCCAAAAAAAAAAGAACAAATTATATGGGACGGACGAAAATAAAAAATATGGACAAATTATGCGGGACGGACGGAGTATTTGCTTATTTTGTGTGAAGGTTAATAAAGATTTCTTAATGATATTTGATAAGAATTTTTGTATGTAAAAGTTATTTTAGCATTAATAGATAAATTAATATAACAATATTGATGTAAGTTAAGTTTAAGAGTACTTTTAATGTGTAATAGAGTTTATACTAAAATAAGATTTTAATATGTTGTGTTTCGATTTTTTTTTCTTTCAATGTTATTATTGTGTTACTTTACAAATATGTTTTTAAAAAAGTATCACATTAAATATTTATTTTTAATAAAATAAAAGTATTTATTCAACAACTATTTTATTTCAAAAGTATCAAAATATATAATACAAATATATATATATATATATACTGTAAAAAGGTATGATTTGTGTTTGGAAATTTTAAGTTTTAAACAGATGTGATATACTCCCTCCGTCCCATGTAATATGGGTCTATTACTGTAGACACGGAAATTTAGGTAAAGTATAATTAGTAAGCAATTAAGAAATATATTAGTAAAAATAATTATAGATTAAGATTAAGATAACTAAATAGTTTAATTAAAATTAAAAAAAAAATTAAATTTTAAATTTTAAAATATGATTAAAGTGTATAATTAATTTTCTAAAAAAGAAAATGACAAATTATATGGGACGGATAAAAATAAAAAATAGGAATAAATTATGTGGAACGGAGGGAGTGATGTATTGTAAAAATAATGAAAAATAAAATTAAAATTGAAAGAATATAACCAATTGAAGTAGTACAATGCTTGTGTTTTATTGGGCCACCGATTTCATACTTGACACATTTTTATGGGCTTATAATTGGGCCACTGATTTTATAATTAATTCATTTTTATGGGCTTATGATTGGGCCAAAAATATTTTCAGGAATATATGCATCATGGGTCCTTAAATTTGCCACATTCAGCGGTTTGTTTTTATTTCAAATTCTTTATTATTATTATTATTATTATTATTATTATTATTTTATGTTATTATTATTATTACTAGAGCCCAAAATGTTCCCATTAAATCCCAAGAAACACACCTCATTGAACACACTCTTTGGTTTTATTTTATTATTTGGTACTCCCACTTATTTGGTTAAGGACACCTAATTTTAGACAGTGTAGTATGTATTTTTAATTAGGTTTAGAAAATTTTTGTTTGACTTTGATATTAAAATAATGTATGATTGAAATATTTGTTGCGAAGATAAAATTTATTTTTTTTCGAAAAATGCAGAATTCAAATAGTAAAAAACTGAATAAACATGTGTTTTTACTTGTGAAGTTTTAGTTTTGGATTTTGATTTTGAATAGTAAAATTTTGAATTAACATAGCTGTTTGATGTGATATAAATATGTATTGATGTGATATTTTCAATGTAAAATTAGTTTTTAGTGTAATAAAATAAAAAAAAATTGGGTGTTTGATTTGATATTTTTAGAGAGAAAAGAAAATTGAAATAGTAAAATAATGAGTAAAATCTAAATAGAGTCTTAATAACTTATTTTTAATAAGTTATACTATTGTTTTGGTATTTTTTATACGAGTATTATTATTGGTATTTAAAATATTTTTAGCATTATATCTCAATAAAATATGAATATAAATTTTATATAATATAAATAAATAAATATATTTATTTAATTATTTATAATTAATTAAAAAATAATTTATAAAAAATAAAAAAGTTTTAAATATAGACAAAAATATTTATTTGTTGAATAGAGATAGAAATAAAAAAAAAAATTGAATAGATCTTACATGTAAAAAATTAAAAATTTAATCGAATTGATTTATATTTATTAAATATATTTAAGATGAACAAAACTTATTAAAATATAAATGAATTTTTTTTATGAGACAAAAAAAAAAAAAAAAAAAAAAAAAAAATTTGCGACGAGATGGAGATGGAGAAAGTATTCAACTTGAAGTTATGATAATTGAATCTTCGATTTTTCATCGCACACCGTGTACTTGTTTAATCTGAAATTTCAATATAACTTAAAAATAAAAAAAATCAGGTGGTAGTATATCTGGCGAGGGTTGCCACTTCAACGCAGGGGGAATCTTTCCAGGCCTGGAAATGCCTCCTCAAAATTTCCCTGGATTTCTCCTTCACATGCCACCCACACTCCACCTGCATCACCGCACACAGCTTCGCCGCCGTCCGCACCCTCACCATCTCCTCCGCCACCGCCGCCGTGCCGGAAAACTTCGATACCACCCACAATATCATAACCGCCCGCTCGTCCGCCGCCGCCGACACCGTCAGCATCCGCCGCGTCACGACCGCCACCGCCGCCGCGTGCCTCAGGAACTCCGCCCTGCCCTCCGCTTGAGAACACAGCCTGTACAGCACCTCCAAAACCAGCTCCGTCGTCCGCCGCGCCGGACATTGAAGCTCCAATTCGATCAGGTCGGAAACAAACCCTAATTCCACCATCCGAACACGATTCCTCCCCCATTGACAAGCTTCCACCGCCACGTGTAACAGAGAGTTCACCCCCTGCTGAGAAATCCCGCCGCCGACGAGATTGCCCCCGATTCCGGCGAGGGTTTCCGCCTTCATCGTCTCGAATATCCTCGCCGGAGCGCCGCCGTCCGCCGCCTGGACAACGATTTTTAGCGCGCAGGCAGCCTGCGATTTCAGATTATCAAACCCTAACCCCCAAATCAAAGCGTCCACAATTTCCAGGTTTCCGGCCAACTCCCCGGCGCCGGCGCCGGCCCTGGATTTTTTCAACGCCCCCCTAATTACATAAATAAGACTCAGGGCTTCCTCCAGGCCACCATCAGCCTCCCTGTTCCGATAACAATCGACGATAAAATCGACGACGGCGGCGCCGATTCCCGCCTCCACCATTAAAACCCGATTCCGGTCACTCTCCGCCGCCAGGGCTTCAAGAGTCTGCAATTTCCGGCGAGTCAGGTCCTTGACGAGTTTGATGAAATATAATTTACTGAGAGGGGGTTTCGGCGTCGGAATCCGATCGACGCCGGAGGCCTGATTGGCGGTGGACCAGGCCTGGATGAGCCGCCGGAGAGTGTGGTTCGGCGTGAGGTCGGAATTTTCCGGCAGGGGCTGTTTGGTGACCGGACAGATGGCGTGGTGGCTCTTGAATAGCCACCGTTCGATGCTGTCCCTGTCGTAGGTGATGCCGGAAACCGCCGTGACGGGATCTTTCATGATCTGGAGTGAGATTGGGCAGACGAAGTATTCGGGGATTTCCACGTTGTTGTCGCCGGCGGCGGCGGCGGCCATGGAAGCTCCGGTAAGTAAATCGATTGTGCAGTAAATTAAATTAAATTAAATTATAGATAGTATCGAATTTGATTGAAATGAGGGATATGGTGTAAGAAAGATTTGGAATTTAGGGCAGAAAATAAATAGCGCTGAAATGAATTATGAATGTGTGGATAGTCTGGTAAGAGAATGCGGCTGTATTAATTTCAAATATTTTATTATTATTAGTTTTATTGTTTATTTAGTTAAAATCTCTCTAAAAGATTCAATTTAATTTTTAAATATTAATTATTAAATAAAAATATAAATTAAATTAAGAAAAAAAAAGACAAAAATATTTATATTAATATTTTATAATACTATTACATATAAAAAATTATATAAATATAAAAATTCGAAAAAAATAATTTATTATTATTAGTATGGTTGTAGTTGTTGTTCTAGAAAATTTCGAGGGAAAGTGGTCATAACTAATAAATGAGTCGTATATTCTCACGGACAAGACAGTTTGGCTGGTCAAAGGGGCAAAATTGTGTAGGACAAAGACTTATGGAAATGTTGTGTACTCTAATAATTTACTGGGAAATACTCCCTCTCTCCGTTGTAATACGAGTTTATTACTGTAGATATAATAATTTAGGTAAAATATAATTAATAAGTAATTAAGAAATATATTGTAAAAATAATTATAAATTAAAATTAAAATAACTAAATAGTTTAATTAAAATTAAAAAAAATTTAAATTTTAAATTTTAAAATATGATTAAAGTGTATAATTAATTTTCCAAAAAAAAAAAGGACAAATTATATGAGACGAAAGAAAATAAAAAATAGGAATAAATTATGTATGACGGAGGGAGTATATATATATATATATGTTCATTTAATGTTTTAAGGGAGTATATATATATATATGTTCATTTAATGTTTTAAAAATATGGAGGATTAATTTAAAATATTATTTATATATGTAATATAATAAAAAATAATAATACGTAGATTGGTTTACAATTCAAATTTATATTAAAAAAATTAGAATAAGAGCCCACAAATCCCACATTTAACTATATTTATTAATATGATTTTTTTTTAAAAAAAAAAAAATTAAAGTTCTTCCTACAATATTGTTTAATTTAAAACCAAGGCGGCTATAGTTTTGGATAAAATGTTGACCAATCAAATCAGCATGATATTGATTTGATCGGATTAGCATATTACATCAATATAATTAGTATATATTATATATTATCGTAACATGGTTATGATATAATATATGTTATATTATAATTTAGTATATGATATTTTACAACGCATCATATGTTGTGTTATTAAAAAATATATGTTGTATGATTTTATGTGATATGTTGATTAGATAACACTACGCACTAAGCGAACCATGTGTGACAGATAGACCTGAGACGTCGGGGGTTCGAACTCATAACCTAATAATTACAAATCCAACTCCTACACCACCAGAACATCTTTTACAGGCAATGGTTAATCTTATTATTACATGTGTGTGAATATGATGTTGTTATTCAACGTGTAAATGAAATCCAAATATTCCTTATTATTATTAATAAAGAAAAAAAAAAATGCCTTAAGGACTTCTTGAAAGATGGATACTACCTCCATCCTATATAAAATGTATATTTTTTCTATCTTCGTTTTTTTCACCTAAGTTGTTTTTTTATTTTTTAAAAAATAATACTAATATATTTTAATCACATTTTAAATTTTATAATTAATATAATTTTTTAATCCTAATTAAAAAGTTTAATTATTTTAATCTTAATATATAATTATTTGTATTATACAATATCTATTTTTACTAATATATTTTTAAAATTATTTACTAATTATACTTATCTTAAATTTTCAGAGCTATAATAACCTAAACAATTTTTATAATATTTAATGTGCTAATTGGGCCAATCAGTATGTTACTAATAAATTCCGGATCACCATCTTTAACTATCTATAAAAGAAAAATATTCAGATTAGAAATAGTAATAAAGTGTGTTTTCAATTGTTTTGAATTTGAAATATTCTAATGAAAAGTATGTATTAATTATAAAATATTGAAGGAGAACAAAAATGTGTTTTACATGAAAATATTTTTCAACATAATATTAAAAGAATAGTTCAATATTATATATAGTATAAAAATAAGATTAAAAATGAAACTCATATTCTCAATTAATTAGTATATATATATATATATATTTTCTTCATCTGAATTAATTATGTCATTTTGTTTAAACACAAAAACTAAAAAATAATAATATTTTAATATAAAACTACACAAATAAAAAAGTAAAATGAGAGTCTTATAAAAAATTTATTGAATAAAAATATTAATGAAAATTAGTTATTATTTGTAAAAGTATAGATAATAAAATTATTATAAATAAATTACGAAAATAAAATAGGATGTGTTTGGAAAGCCAAATTAATATTCAAAGTCTTGCAATCACTACCGATTATTACTCCCTCTATTATCCAATTGTGTGTTCATTTGACCGAACACGGGTTTTTAGAAAAATATCTAAAAATAGAAATTTTTAATTTTTTTGGTAAATAAAATTGGTATTTTTTTACTAAAAAAAATAAACCGGAATAAATTTGGATGACAATCATAAAAAAAAAAAAAAAAAAAAAAGTGAGAATAAATTTGAATGACGGAGGAAGTATTAATTTTTCCGAATAAAAACAAGGCTTGGAAAGAATCAAATTTCAAAGGTACGTGACTAATAGTTGCCACGTTGGTATATTTTCTTCTTCACATATGATATGATATACTAACCAAGTCAACTTCTCTACAATTCAAATATCCATAAACCTATTTCACACTTAGGATCTGTTTGGTTTGTGTTTTTTTAAAATTCTTTTATTCAGTTCACAAATTAATATTCTATTTTTGCTATTTGAAAATTTCCAATAAATATTATCCTATTTTCCTTTTATATAAATTTTTTTACTTTTTTACCTTTTTATTCATTTACCATTTTTATTTGAGCATGCTTTTATCTCTATCTCACCAAAAATAAAAAATACTAAAATAAAAATTGTTCTTTTATTTTTGTAATACTTCCTCCTCCCAACTCAAAATACAATTTTTACTATTTTCGTATGTCTCATTCCAAAGTATCATTTAACTTTTACTTTGATTACAAGCATATTATTATATATACAATTAATAAAATATTATTATTTTTTAATTTACTACATCCAAAAAAGGACCCATTTCGTTTGGGACGAATAAAATATATAAAAAGAAACCTTGCCACCTAATTCATTATCGATTTATTAATTATATTATACCTTATCCACCGCTTAATAAGAATAATAATATATCGATGTGATCTTTCTAATCAAAAAATAATAATAATAATAATATATCGATGTGATATTTGTTAAAAAAATAAATGTTAGATATGATATTTTTAAATGAAAAAGAAAATAAAAACAAAATTACAAAAAATAATTTGAAATTGATTAGAAAAAGGTGGTTGATTTAAGTTTTTGTTTAAATAATATTTTTGGTTTAATATTTTGCAAAAAAAATATTGTATTTTTATTAAAAATTATATAAAGTAAATAATATTGCATTGATTTATTTTTTAAGTCACAAAAGAACAAAACCCTAAATAATTCAGTCCTCATATATATATTCACAATGTTGATTGCGTATTATATTTTTTATTGTTAAATTAATTTTTTTTCTTTGGAATTAAGCTATCAAATCATTCGATTAATTTAGAAACTTTATAGAAATGTAACATAATTTGAACAATAAATTTATATTGTATAATATTCTAGTTTTAGTCATTTCAAAGGTCCTCTTGTTTGTATAATAAATTTATATTGTACTCTCTCCGGCTCACCGGAGTTGAACCATTTCATTAGGTACACAGTATTCAAGGCGAGGATGTTTAATTAGTTAATAATAATTAATTATGATATTATTATATTATTTTTTTGTATAATTAATAATATTTATATTTTTAAAGTAAATTTAATACATATGATTAAAAAAATTAAAATATATGTTTAAATATTTAAAAAGTATATAGCAATTAAAAAATATATGCAATATAGATATCATTTTGTAAACAATAAAATTTTTTATAATACAAGTAAATAAAAAAATATTTTTGTTTATTTATAATTAACATAAATTAATTATATAAAAGATGTGTAGTTTTAAATATAGATAAAAATATTTATTTTTTTAGGAGAGACGTAGAAATAAAGGGGTTTTAAGTGGTCCTACGTTATTTATGATGTTGAATATTATGTAGTTAATTAAGTTGATTTATATTTGTTAAATATATTTTGATTTAATAATTTTTACCAAAAATAGAAAGGTGTCAATTGTTATGGGACGGACAAAAATGAAAATAGTGTCAAGTGTGGTGGGACGGAGGGAGTATAATCTTTTATTTATTATACTGTATAAATTATTTTAATTCCACGAATCACTTACGGGTGTGTTTGTTTGGGGGATTGGATTTTAAATAAATCTACTATTCATTCTATTTTTTCTCCTCAAAAATATCAAATCAAACACCTATTTTTTATTTTTTATACTATACTAAAAACTAATTTTACATTCAAAACATCACATCAACACTTATTTATATCACATCAACACTTATTTATATCACATCATACAACTATTCAAGCACACTACATGAAATATGAGCTTCAAGCCCATTATTATTAGGCCTATAAGACTAGTTAATTAGTTGGCCCATTAGGCCCATTCTAGACCCAATATGACTATGTTTATGTATTTGCGGATGCTTCTTTGAAATGAATATTTATTAGATATAATATTTTTAAATAAAAAATAAATATATAATAATTAAAATAAACATAGATAGAAGATACAAAGAAATTTATTGTTTTTAGCTATTTTTTTCAATTACTTTACGATACAATTCTTGTAATTTTTTTTTTTATAAATATATAATATGTTTATCTAATAAAATATTCCATTTAACTAATTTCTAATTGAGAAAAAAAAAATACACACAATATAAACACTCACAAATAAATAAACCATTTACTTAACTTGAAGTGTTACAATATCCAACCCTACTATGGACCTAATAATTAGGGATGGCATATGGGAAATACCGATCAATACTGATATTGTATCGAACTTTTTCAGTATGGTGAAAATACATACCGGTATCGTACCGAAAGTTTTAATATATCGAATTTCAGTATGACGAAACATTCGGTACGGTACCGGTATATACTGCTTATACCGAAAATTTTGATTTCAGTATAATACCGACCGCTTATACCGATTATATCGAAAATATAATCGTAATTTCAAAATAATTAAAACAAAAATTAATAAATATCACTATTTTACACCACAAAAACATTACAAAAAAAAAGATAAATAACTTTTCAATAGTCTGCATCATTTATATTAATAATTAAATTATTTAATAAAAATAATATGGGTACGGTATCATACCACAGTATCAAACTTTCCAAAAATTCATACTGATACTGTATCGAAAATTTGGTATGTACAATATCTATACTTTACGAAAATTTTTAATATACCAAAATTTTCAATATTTTCGACACAATACGATATAATAAGTCAGTATTTCGGTACATTGATTAAATTTCTCCGTCCCTACTAATAATATTGTGGGTGGGTGAAGGACTAGTAATATTCTTTGTTTATATTTATTGGCAGCTGTGGTGCAATTAGTGTAACACTGAAGTTATTAAATGAGATTTCTTAATTGGGGAAAAGGACAAAACTCCACCGTATAGAAAAATATGAATAAAAGAAAGAAGTAACCGATTACTGACCTTCTCAAAAATTCTTACTGAAAAATAAAATAATAATAAAATCACAGAAATATTCAATTTTAATGTATATATATATATATATTATTTTATAATGATTCAAAAAAATCCACATATCTCTAGTTTTAAATATTCAATTTGAAGTAATGATTCAATTAAATCTTTTATTTTCACCGAAAACACAAATAAATTGAACTTTCAAAATATTAAATATTTATTTACATTACATTAAATGTGCAATTTATTTATTTGTTATTTTTTATTTTACTATTTGAAAGTTTTTATCCTGTTTTAAAGTTTGATTTTAATTTGTTAGTTTTGAGTTTGTGTTTGTGTTTGTGTTTTATCTTATCTTTTTGTAAAATAATTGTTTTTTTATGTTTTACATGAGAAAACTATGTATTCATAAGAAAGCATGAAATATCATTACAAATAAACTTATATATATATTAAAAAAAAAAACTCAAAAAGAATATAGCCAGAAAGTATATTGGAAAAAAAAAAGTGTTTGTTTTCAAATTTTACATTACACACCGTTTTTAATATACTCCCTCCGTCATTCAAATTTATGCTCACTTTCCTTTTTGGATTATCATTGAAAAATATTCTCGTTTTTTTTTAAGTAAAAAATTATTATATTTTTGTATTTTTTTCCTATAAAAAGAAAATGTAATAATTATTACTCATTTTTATTAAAACCCATACCCAGTCAAATGAGCACAAATTTGCAGAGGAAGTGCATATATATATATATATATATAAAACAAATAATACAACAGTAACATTTTAGGGTTCCCAATAATAACAACAAAAAGCCTAAAAATTTACTAAAAGCTATTAATCCACCTTTTTTTTTTATTATTAATTCTATCTTTAATTTTTTTAAAAAAAGATATTATATATAATATATATTTTTCGTATAAATATCATATTAAAATATTTTAAAAAAAAAACTGCTGGCTGCTGAATTTTTTCTTTACTACTGGATCACACCAAAGCAAAATTGTATACGTGATGGAGTACAAAAACACAAGAAAAAGGAATGAATTGAGGGTCCATGGACCAGTGCTCCTGGAGAAATCCAAGCTGTATGTGAAAAACGGGCGGTGAGGATATTTCCGGAGTTTGGTCCGAGGAATTGTCTGGAAATTGCTGGGGACACATGTCCGTACGTCCCGTGGTAAGTAACCGTACGTTTCTGTAAGAGGTGAGTCAACTTATGATAATTTGTAGTTTGACATTTTTCGTGTGTCCATATATAAAAGCACTGTTGACTATCCAGCATTTATTGCCTATCAAAATAATTAATAAATTATTACTTCAAATTAGTGTCCATCTGCCGTTCGATTTATGGCTCTCGTGTCGTGTGACAATTCTTAGGAGTGTTATTGAGTACTCCCTCAATCCCATGTAATATGAGTGTATTACTATAGACACGAGAATTTAAGTAAAATATAATTAGTAAATAATTAAAAAATATATTAGTAAAAATAATTATAGATTAAGATTAAAATAACTAAATAGTTTAATTAAGATTAAAAAAAAAAATTTTAATTTTAAAATATAATTAAAGTATATAATTAATTTTCAAAAAAAAAAGGACAAAGTAGGACGGACGAAAATAGAAAATAAGAACAAATTATGTGGGACAGAGGGAGTATTACTCATCAATTTTATTATTTTTAAATATAAAAAAATATTTATTTACGGAAAAAATAAATAAAAATAAAAAATTTTGAGTGCTTATATCTAAAAGAATTTATAAATGTATTAATGTATATTTATTAAATATATTAGAAAAAAATCATCTATAATGGGAGGGTGAGTATATTACTTTCTCTGTGCTAAACACTTAACAATATTTTATTATTTTAAAAATAATTAATAATATCTATATATATATTAATATACGCTTCACTTTACGTCATCACATTACTCAAATAAAAAAAAATAATCGTTTCTCTCTTCAATAATATTACTTAATATCCAAATTATCTCAAATTATCATACATAAATTCTCGTGTCAAACATAAATATTGCACGGTGTTTGGGACGGAAGGAGTACTACTTATTATGTAAAGAAATAATTTTTTTTATTGAAAATATTATATTAAATATTATTTCAGATCAATTTTTTATTATTTTAAACCTTATACAACCTTTTTACTTCTCTATGATTTTGTTTATTTACTATCTAAATTTATAACAAAATTATTATATTGCTATTTTTTTATTGTAAATCCCAATAAAGTTATAATTTTTATTTATTTAGACAGCATGTGTTTGTTTGGAATTTTTTAAATTTTGAATTTTAATATCTTAAGATATATGTTGATCTTTTATTATGAACATAAAAATAATTAATAAATGAATCTTTGATTTAATATTCTTAAATAATACTATAATTAATATTAATATTGAATATTCTCTTGTATGGAATGATAATATATATATATATATATTGAGATTGTGTTTAAAAGAAATTAGTGGGCAAACATACCCAATATATACATAAAAATAAGTTAATGGAAATATAAAAATAATTTTTAATATTTCTTTTACGATTTTTACATTTTATAATAGAACACCTAAAATTATAAAAAAAATAAAAATAAAATGCAATTTAATGAACAAGGATTTTGAAAGCTGGAAATGGGAAGGTTATTGGAAGGTCCCAGGACCTCCGAATCCAGACAGAGGCAATCGGTGGTTCATGCAGTGGGCGCTTGGAAACCATGGACTTGATGTAAATTTTTTCAATTATATTTAATTTAAATAATCATATTCCATAATTATTTTTATTTTTAATCTATAATTTTACTTACAATAATCCATCTCCCCACCACTAATTAAATCATTTTTTAAAAAAAACTACAAATTAACATTTTTTCATTTAATCTTTTTTTTTTTTTTTAATTTAATCTTGTCGAGTGAGAGTAGTAGTGGTAGAAAGTAATTTTTAAATAGATGGTGGAAACAGCATTTGCACACTTTCAACACAATCCACTAAATAAATACATACATACATATATATATATGAATATATACTCTTTATCTATCTATTTTTTTACACAGAATTTTAAAAATATTAATATTATATTAAAATATTAAAATAAAGGGAAAAAAATAAATTAATCTTATCAGTATGACATAAAGATAATATTTGTGTAATATATTATAAATTGGAAAGGGATTTGTAATGTTAGACAGATAATACAGTTAAAAAAAATTAAATATTTTATTACGAGGCGGACCAAAATAACAAAATAAATAGACTGACAAAGAAATACACACAACGTTTGATGGATTGGCTAGTAATGAAGAGGAAATATGTACTTGACAGTATCTTGTTATTTCTTGAAATGAATCAGGACCGTCGATCGCAACTACGGACGGTGAGGATTGACAATTGATGTAAGCCATAAAAGCACATCAAGCAAAGCTCATCCAGTTAATGGTGATGGTGGAATAGCTGTGTCCCATCATTGCCCAAACTATAATTTATTTATTTTATTTTATTTTATTTTATTATATGTATCAGAAAAGGAAATAAAATAGAATAAATTAAAAGGAGTCCAGATTCATGTAAATGTTGTTCCCAGTTTGATGATTGTGAAATAACCCACTTTTGTAACCACAGCAACAGATCAAACAAAATACATCTACGCATGTAGATATCAATAAAGCACATTTCTTATCAACCCTTCTTTTCAACTCCATCCAAATTTAATTATTACTATTAATTAATTAATTATTTCATATGACGGCAACTACTGTGCTTATCTTGTGCTGCCAAACGACACACAATTTTATTACAGACAACGTAGTGTATATGTTAATATAATATAAATATAGTATATAAACTATTAGTATTGTTATAGTTTTATACAATACACAACGGTTGATATTAGCACGTAACATATTTTTATACAATACACATGTAATTATGAACAAACAACATATTTTTTTATTACACACAATATCTGTCGTGTCTAAGAAGACCCATATATTATGAGTGCTGAATTTTCTAAATCAACACATTTTAAAATTCCTAGTTTATAATTTTTATTTTATTTTAATTAAACTATTTAATTATTTTAATGTTAATATATAATTATTTTTAATAATATACTTTTTAATTACTTGCTGATTACACAATATTTAAAACTTCGTGCCTACGTAAAATGAGATAATTTAAATGAGACGGAGATAGGAATATTTTAGTTGTTGTGTCTGATCTAATATGTTGTGTCGTCTATATAAGTCCCTTGAGCCAACCCTAAAAAATCTCACCCCCTCCTCCATTACTACATCCTTATACTTATACAATTCGATTCTTCGAGGAGGTGTCCTAATTTGGGAGAATCGAATTGAATCGAATCAAATCGAATCAATAGATCGATGGATATTCAAGAAAGCAGTAGCAACAGTTTAGGGCAAAGAACTATTGCTGCAGCTGTGAAGATTATTCCTCGGAGAGTTAAGTCGACAGTAATGGAAGCTCGAAGAATCGGGCGAGAAGATCCTAGAAGAATTGTCCACTCGATTAAGGTTGGGTTGGCTCTAACGTTGGTGTCGCTGCTCTACTATTTCAGGCCTTTGTACGACGGCTTCGGACAGGCCGGAATGTGGGCCATCCTCACCGTCGTCGTCGTCTTCGAATACACTGTCGGTATGTATCTATACATATATATATAATTTCAGACAGCTGTCGTCGATTCATTTACATATATATGTGATTAATTATTGTTTGATTTTCAGGTGGAACTTTGTTGAAAAGCATAAACAGAGGGTGCGCGACAATGGCGGCGGGTGGTTTAGGGATTGCGGCGGAGTATTTCGCCGGCCGTTGTGGGGAAAAAGGAGAGCCTATCGTCCTCGGGATTCTGGTTTTCTTTCTAGGTAAGAAGATGAACCCTCTGGTTTATTGAAGGTCCCGGGACCTCAACTCCAGTTGCATATATATACATTTAATTAATTATTTAATTACGTACAGCGGCGGCGGCGAGTTTCATGCGGTTTTTCCCGAAAGTGAAGCGGCGGTACGACTACGGGGTGATGATATTTATCCTGACGTTCAGTCTGGTGGCGGTGTCGGGTTTCCGGGTCACGGAGATCCTGGAGCTCGCGCACCAGCGCCTCTCCACGATTCTGATCGGCGGGGCGACCTGTATCATGATATCCATATCCGTTTGCCCGGTTTGGGCGGGTCAGGATCTTCACAACCTAATCGCCGGAAACGTCGAGAAGCTCGCCGTCTTCTTGGAAGGATTTGGGGATGAGGAAGAAGAGTTTTTGCAAGAAATTATTAAACAAGAACAAGGCAAGATTCCGTGTAAGAAATCGTTTCTCCAAACCCATAAATTCGTGCTCAATTCCAAGGCCACTGAGGAATCTTTGGTAAGTAAATGATATTGATAATTAAATAATTTATATTATTAATCATTTAGTAGATTCGAAATTGATTTAAAAAATTGTTTTATTGCAGGTAAATTTTGCTTGGTGGGAGCCTTGCCATGGTCGATTCAAGTTTCGACATCCATGGAAACAGTATTTGAAAATTGGGGCTCAAGCTAGGGAATGTGCATACCTCATTCAAACCCTAATTGGATATATCAACACAAAATCTCAACCCAAAGTACGAATCTTTACAGAAATTGATGATTAAGAATCAGACAATCTAAAGTAATGCTGTAAGAAATTAAATGTTGTTTGATTCGATTTACAGGTGTCATCAGATCTGCAATTAAAGATCCAACGTTTGTGCATCAAAATCAGCAAGGAATCAGGAAAGGCCATGAAAGAGCTGTCGAGTTCTGTCAAGAACATGATTTATCCATCGCCACGGGTTTCGACACACGCCATTAATTACAGATCTGCACTGGACGAGCTCACGACGATTCTTGAAAATTCGACACTGCCCACGAAGGCTGATCTTCAGGACATCCTGCCTGCCCTCGTCATCGCTTCTGTTCTCACCGACATCGTTAATTTCGTCGATTTGATTGCAGTGTCCGTCGATGAACTTGCCCAGAAAGCTCAGTTCAAAAAATTACCTAATTCGACTGCGTACAAGAAACAGCATCACAGTGTGATCGTGAAACCAGTCGTGATTAAGGTGGATGCCTCGCCGGAGAAGACGCCGGAGAAAGAGAACACGCAGGGAACCGTCGCCGGACAGTGACCGGAGAGAGTGAAGTGCGATTTTGTTAGTATATGTTTTCCTGATACTAACTGGAGAGAAAAGCATATATGTAACCGTACTTATAAATGTGGGCCCCGATTCCCTAATTATGAGATAGGGGCAGTATAGTAATTTCAGGGAGGGTTAGGTATAATAGAAATAAATTACTACTAATATATGTACATGATTTGTATTTTGTAACATAGAAATTAATATTTAATTATATATATATATATATATATTTATGCCTTTCGGTGACGGTACGGCCGAATGATGAGAATCAATTTATTTTTGCAATAAAATAATAATATCTTCAGTGCATCATCACGTTTATTTATTTTTTTTATTTTAAAATTTGCCCACTGACGAATAAATCACAGCTTATTTGATTATTATTACTTTCAAAGGAATATATACCAATTGGATATTCGGATCCATTCACAAAACTAAGATTTCCTTTAAATGTTTTTGTAATTTTAAACAGTTTAGAAAATAATAAAAATTAAATGTTTTCTAATATATATATATATATATTTAATAGAATATTTTTTTTTAAAAAAATATTACTATAACTCGTAAACGTACAATCGCCTAGTCATAATTTTTTTAAAAAAATAAAAAACAAAAATAGGCACAGGGTGTGGCCACTGTACACGCCCAACTTAGTCTATTTCACCAAAAAAGAACCTAAAATATCGTACAAGAATATGATGTATCTGACTCAGATAGACCATCAAATACATTTATATATATATATATTTATTTATTTAATTATTTAATTTTAGGGACGAAGGACGATTTCATTTCAATTTGAAGACGCACTGGTAAATCCGATCGAACCTAATACCCTACAAATCAAGTTCGACAGAAAAGTCACACTAGGCAAACTATGTGTGGCAGGTGATTTGAGGCATGACCTCATGGTCACAAATCCAATTCCTACACCACCAGGAAGGGACTGTTAATGTATATACTTTGAAATTTTAGTTTGTCCGCCCTTAATATATATGTTCTTTTTATTAGTAATTATACTTTTTACTTAGGGTGTGTTTGTTTGGAGGATTGGATTAAATTTTCCCTATTTATCCAATTTTTTCTCTTAAAAACATAAAATCAAACAACTATTTTTCATTTTTTATATTATACTAAAAATCAATTTCACATTCAAACATCACATCAATACCTATTTATATCACATCATACAACTATTTGAATTCAAAATTTTTTATATTCAAATCTCAACTCAAAATCCAAACCCACGAACAAACACACCCTTAATAAAACTATCTCTATATTGTATATAATATCAAAATTAATGTCATTATAAAGTATATGATTTAAGGGTAAAAATTATTGTTTTATTCTTCTCTTATACTATTAACTTTAAAATATTAATATTTTAAAATTTACCTGAAAAAAGATAAATATTTATATTAGAACTGGACCAAAAGAATATTATTTTATATCTAACATATTACATTAAAATATTTTATATTTAAATATTACATCAAAAAAAATAATGAATATAAATACTTATTTTATTTTATTTTATATAAGTTGAATTTAATATTTTAATTAAAATAAATTTTAAATATTTTATATTATATATTTCATTTTATGAATTTGAACAATGACTTCTCATAATTACAAATTCACTTAACATCACCAAATCATCTTTTACATGACTTCATTTATTTTAATTTATTTTAAAATTAAATAGAGTGTGTGTTTCTTTATTTTCTTTTTTTATAGTTTTATACATTTTTGTTGTGAAGTACAAAAATTATCTTTGTTAACTTTTGGTGTCATGAAAGAAAATAAAATATTTTTATTAAAAATCATATAAATTGAATAATATTAATTTGTATTTTTTTTAAAAAAAAAAAGAAAAGAAAAAGGAAACCATAATTAATAAATACAAATACAAATGAACAAGCTCAAAATAGTTGAAAACATTCATAAATCCATGCAAAAGGGACATGAATATCTCAATAGGTCTTCAATTTTATGTGTACTAATTAAATTTTAGTTGTGTTTTTTTAAAAAAAAAATAAATTTTTTTATTCTTGTATTTTTAAATGAAAAATAATTGTTGAATGTAATACTTCGTATAAAGAAATAGGTATATTTTTTATTAAAAAAAGTAAGATTATATAATAAACAAATAAGAAAATTTCAAAGAAAATGGGCTCTGTTTACAATTAATTGTCTTTTTTTCTTATTTAGTAATCATAGTCTCCACTTTATAATAAAAATTAGGCTTTGGATCAAATGCTGAAGTGATAAACAATTCAGCATAAGCTGAAATTGATCCAAATTTTTCATTTTAATTTAATTATTTTAATTAATTAAATTAAATAATTTAATTTAATTAATGGTGTAGATCAAATTCAGCATAGCTAAATTCCTTAATTCAGCATCCACTTTGATAAAATTATTTCAACTTTTCCAAACTAATCCTAATTATTACTCTAATCTAAAATCATTCAAAAAAATAAGAGTACTTTAGTCTTTTATCATCTGCGTTATACTAACTTTCAATTAAATATTATTATTTTTTAATTCTCGTGTCCACTCCCTTATTCTGGGACGAAAGGAGTATATTTTTTTCTAAAAAAATATCAAATTAAATATTAATTTTTTATTTTTTCCAAATTTCCAAAAACCTCTTAGGCTACATCAATCCACCACACTAGTTGTTGACACTTGATGAGGTGTAATTTTGTCATAAATATGTAAATAACAATTAACATTTGTTACAAATGTCTAAAATTAGAGGGAAATGCCCAATAACACTGTAGAATTTTATTTTGTTGACTATAATCAAATCAATAATCTTATCTAAATAATTTAAAAATATTTATGGAAAGTAAATTAATAGGTAGCTTAAAATGGTATATAGCCATTTAGGCACTAAAGGAAGGTTCCCAAAGTAACATTTGGGCACGTAAATGAGACGTGAGTTGTTTCCCACTTTCACTTATTATAGTACAAAATAATACTTATTTAATTATAAATTATTAATTTATTGCAGATTTAGCCGCAATTTAAAGGCCGAATTAACGATGGACATTACGTACGATCGTACATATAGGCAATGTCTCTTTTTAATTAAATTTTAAAGTGAAGTCAGTATTTTATTTCCAAAAAAAAAAATAATAATAATAATAATTTTAAATTTAAAAAAAAAAAAGAAAGAAAAAGAAAACAATACAACCTAATCTACTGAATTATTTATATTATGTTAAAAAAAAAAAAACAATTTATTACAAAAATGGTAAAAAGGGGAAAATAATAATAATGTTTAAAAGATGATACTTCCTCCGTGCCAAAAACATTTGGGATTAATACGAGAATAAAAAAATATTAGTATTATATTGATATTTGGTGTAAAAATATTTTTTAAAAGATTAAAATGTAATTATTGTAAAAAAAATGATGATAATTTTGTAAAAGAATAGAAAATTAGTTACCAAAAATATAAACGAGATTATTATTTTGGAACAGACGAAAATAAAAAAAATAAAATTATTATTTTGAGATGAAAAAAATATTTTTCTTATATATAATTACTATTATTTTTTATTTCAGACAACAAATTGTTTTCCTGAAATGAAGAAAGAATAAAGTTGAAAAAAAAAAACAGTTCTTTTTTATTTTGTAATATTTCCTCCGTCTAGTCAGAAAGTATACATATTTCTATTTTGGGACGTCCAATTACAAAGTAAACATTTCATTAAATACCTTACTTTTTTTTTTCCACAAATACTCTTACTTTACATCACATCATTACTTCTACACAAAAATGACAAAAATATCATTACACTACTTTTAACTACTCACTATAATTAAAATACAATTATTTTTTAAACATCGCGCCAAAAAGTAATTGTATATTTTATGAGTGGACGGAAGGAGTACAATTTTTTTGGTTTATTTAATTTATATTTCAAAACTAAGGTTTTTATTATTCAATTTATATACATTTTATTAAATTGTGTAAAATATAATATTAAAAATAATATCTAATTAAATAAAAAATTCAAAAATAAAACTGATCCAGGAGGATACACATTAAATTGTGCTAGCCACTTTTCTGATAAAACAACCTCCTCCATCCAACCTGCTTCCATGATTCATCAATAAATATATTTATCATTTTAATAATAATTAAAAATAATACTCATATTATTTTATATTTTTAAAAAATTATAATAATCCCTCGGTCCTATTGAAAGGTTGTCATTTTCTATTTTTGTCCGTCCCAAAACAAAGCTATTACTTTCTAATTTAGTAATTGTACTATATACCTAACATAATAAATATCCTTTCAACTTACAACATATTACACAAATATCGTTACTTTTATATTACACAATACTAATAGGGGTATTTTCGTCTTTTTCACCATAATCCATTATAATACTAATATTAAAAAATTTACGTGCAAAAAGTAAACGACAACGTTGTTTCGGGACGGAGAGAGTATAATTAGTGTGTGAAGACTAAAATGAATTTAAGTTGTGAAATTAGTAATAAAAAAACTATATTATACTAAATCATTTACTCTTATATTATATAAGAATATGTGTTTCTTTTATTTTTTAGATATATATATATATTTTTATGTTAAATGTGAGAATTGTATCAATAATATAAAAAATAATATTTTATATTAAATTGTTTATTTTTTGTTTTTTTGAATTGATAGAATATGTATTATATATATATATATGTGTGATACTAATATGTATATATTTGATTTTTTTTATATAATATTCATCGAAGATGATGTCAATTGTAAATACACTATGGTATATCTTTTTATTACATGAAATGTTCAAAATAATTTTATTAAAAATGTATGTTTAAGTACATATATATTTTTTCATTTGTATTTCAAATATTATATTTAAAATCTCATTTTCATTAGCAGTAAATAAATTTTTAATACACCTAAGTATAATCAATAATGTATGTGTTTGTTATTTTTATCTTCTGCTTTCAATTACAAATAAAAAAAAAAATTTTATATATTTTTTTTCTATAAAATACTATTTAATTTTACAAAATATCTTAAAATAATAAAAAATACTTCATTTAAATAAGATTATAAAATTTCAAAATATTTTTACAATTATCAATAAATAACAATAAAAATCATAATAAATTACTATCAACGCTAGAAGAATAAATCTTAAGGTGTGTTTGTTTTGTGTTTTAATTTTAAAGAA